GCAAAGCGGGGGATAAAAACCCTGCCACAGCATTTTTCAAAGAAGACAGGGGGAAGAGGACTTAGAGGGCGGTCGCACGGGCAAAGGCCCGAGTCAGGAAGCGTCGGTGTTCCGGGCGGCAGGATGCCAGGGGAGGCGGCGGGATTGACAGGGGAGGGGGCGACCCCGAGCGGAGCGGCGCGAAAAGGGGAGGGGGCGGCGGCGAGGCGCCGGTGAGCGAGGCGCACGCGCCATCAGACGGGGACGCGCCGCTGCGAGATGGAGGGCGGCGGTGACGGAGGCGAGGCGCGAGGCGGCGGCGGCGGCGGCGGCGGCGGCGGCGGCGGCGGCGGCGGCGGGTCTCGGTGAGCGGCGGCGGGAGGAGGAGCAGCGGCGGCGGGAGGAGGAGCAGCGGCGGCGCTCGCTCGCTGTTGACGGGAGCGCTTTTGAGCCTGGGAGCCCATGCCACTGCGACCGGCGTGCCCGGGAACGGAGATCGCGCGCGCGCCGCCACTCACGACGCGCGCGCGATCTTCGCGGAGTCGGGTCCCCAGAGGGAAGCGGTCTTCTCGGCCGACGTCCAGCGGCGCGCAAGGAAGCAGGCGCAGCGGAGGCGGCCTAGCACCGGCTCGGCGCCGGGCGGTTGCGCTGCCCGCGAGCCGCGTCCTGAGCCTCGGCAGCGCGCTGCGCGGCGCGGCGCTCGCGCTGCTTCTGTGCCGAGAGCGGCATGATTCGCCAGCTGAAGCTCCAGACTCCTCGGGTCCGCGAGTTGCACGATTTGCGCAGGTTGAGGGGAAATTGGCGTTATCGTCTGAAAGCAGTCTTGGGTGGTGAACCTACGTCCCATGTCGCTATTCGCTGGTCTTCACATAAAACGCACAAGCCCGGGCCCGAAATCGCACAGAGACAGTCACGCAACACGGAGTCAGGGAAGGCGAGCAAAGACCTTATCGCGCGCGCTAGACGGCATTCACAGCCTTGTTATTGAGAAGAAAATACGTCCTATTGCGCTGTGCGCTGGTCTGTGAGAGGTTGAGGTGCGAGCCCTGGTCCTGGAGGCCCTGGGGATGGGTTCACAGACCTTGTTGACAAGAAATACGTCCTATGGCGCTTTGCGCTGGTCTATGAGAGGTTGACGGGTGCTCTGGGGGCGCGGGGGCCCTAGAGGGTATCCATGCGGGGGGGCGATGGGGTCCCATGGCCCGCCGCAGGCGCCGATTTTTTTCGGATTTTTTTGCCGATTTTTCACTTGTTTTCATGAATTCGGCGTACTTGCGGCCATGCTATCACGCCTTGCGGCGACAGCCTGTCGGCGCTGCTGACCGTGCCATGCTGCACAATTGATCACCTGCATAGCTCGCGGCCTTAGTATCAAGCATTCAGTGACGACCTGATCGTACGGCCAGTAGGAAGGTGTCCTTCCAGCGCGTGCACGCTTCTGACGCAATGCGTGCGCGTCACAAACTGCCTCGGATTGGCTGCTGGCACTCTCGAGGCTATGCCTACACAGCCTCGCGCGCATGGGCAGTCAAGAGGGACCACGCACCTTCTCAGGACAGCACCAGTGCCTCTCTCTTGGACCGGAAAACGTGGTGGTCTCGTGTTACCAATGTGGGACCAGTGCGGCATCGTGCCATCGACAGCTCTGAACTGCGCCTCACCACTGACCGGGAAGGCCGCCAAGTGGGCCAGCACCGGTCGCACATTGTGGCAGCAGTCAGCAGTGCATGTCTGATAGCTAGAGCAGCAGCGTCAGGGTCTCGCAGGGTCGGATCGTGTCAAGCCTCTCGCCCGGCCGGCCGCGTGCAGACGTCGGCCTGTCTGCTGTCTGGAGTGATCTGTCGGCGGTCAGTACGACCGATCAGGCTGGAGTTTTCTGATGGTTGGAGGGTCTATCTGTATGTACTCCTCGAGATCTCTCCAAATCTGCCCTCTAATCAACCGTAATCATTCGGGAAGTCGGTGCTAACGGAGACTAACGGAGCCGGAGCCCCGTTTCCGCACTGCTGCGCGGCGCACGGTGCCTCCGGGGGCCCCCGCGCCCCCCCAGAGGACGGGTGCGAGCCCTCTGGATTCACCGCAAACGCACAACCCCCCGGGCGCATTCACAAAAGAGAGCGCTGGCGGCTCCCCGGCCCAGCGGCCCTGGGTGTGAGGCTGCCCACTGCTTGGGGAGATCGTCTCGCAGAAACAGATTTTGTACAGTCCGTTAAACGCCCAAATGGAGGGGGTAGGGGGATAGGGGGTCTGCACAGATGCGCAACCCTACCCTACCCCTCACCTCTCGAACCCAGGCTGGGGGAGGGTTGCGAGAGTCATGGACGAGCTGGCGCTCAGCCAACGCCGCCCGTCGTCACGCGACGGGTTTGTGCTCGAGGTTGGCTTTCTCGTGAGACACGTGCACACCGGCCGCCTCCACATGATCATCGGCATCGACTTTTGGGGTGGCGCGCATGACATCGGTGGGCACACGCTGATCACTGAGCCGCTGGTGACTTCAGACGGACTCCCCCTCGACTCGGAGCCCGAAAATTCCGATT